ATCAGTAACTGTTTTTGAAGAACACTTTTAATATCGGAGAATACAAAGAAATCAATAAATAAGCTATTATTCTAGGAAATAAAATGGCAAATGTGTGCCAAATCTTGTAAGCCCAATTAAGTTGGGTTGTTTGTTCTAGGCCAGTGACCTGGCCGCTCCTTCCCTGGCTGTGCAGATGATGGCATCTGTGAGGACTGTTCAGTGCTATACCCTTGATGTTTATTCCCTGCTGTCCTCCACTGGCTTCATTAACATTTAAACATTTCTAGCAACCTGTAATCCTTTCCTTTTCCCTTAAGAATTAAGCTAGTATGGTGGGGGGGCGCCCCAAAACCAGATTTTACAAAAACATACGTATTTATTCTTACATGTTTAAACTTCAGTCACCCTCAAAGTTCTCTTTATTTGATGCAGTACACCTATAAGAAGTTTTTTCCACTGCTCAAAACAGTGTATGAACTCATTGATTCTGATGCCTTTTAGTGCTTTTGCCATTTTTTTTGTTTCACCACTTCCACAGCAGCAAAACGTTTCCTTTTGAGGACTTTTTTCATCGGGGAAACAGAAAAAAATTTGCTTGGGGTGAGATCAGTTTAATAGGGAGGGTGGAACATGGGGGTCATGCTGGTTTTGTTCAAAAACTGCTGAACACTCAGTACAGTGTGGGCAGGTGCGCTTGTAAACCACCCATCATAAAATGGGCAACCGTATTGAAAGCGTCTTCAAAAAAAAATTCACTGAAGCCGAACGTAGCCTCTCACAACAACGCCAGCTGGGTTCCTAGAATACTCACCTAGTAGAGGAAGCCTGTACTGCAAGGGACTTGCCTTCCAGAAGGTAATTCCAGGATTTTTTGGGCCCCCCCTCATACACTGAGGAAACCTGGAAGTTATTTTTATTCAGATATGCCTTGGAGAAGTTCTACATGTTCTGTAACTTTAGTCATAGGAGCCAAATCCAAATTAGAGTTTTTAGATCAGCTTGGAATGTGAAAATCCATTATTCCTGCAGTCTATCTTTTTGAGCTACCTCTTTGCTTTTAAGAATTATCATTGTGATTTTGGGGGCTGCAAAGTGGGGAAGTGTATTGATGGGTGAACAGATTCTGAAGCAAGGCAGAGTGGCGCCACACTGGTGACTGCACATCCCTTTGGGCTTGTGTTAGTTCCCCGACCTTTTTTGCCCTATAGTATGGATATCCAAGGTTCTCAAGTAGGCCTTTGTTACGATTTTTCCTTCAGCTGGTGATTCAGAAAAAGCATCAAATGAATGAGGGGCCTTTAGGAATCCTCAGGACTATGCATATGCTTGCAGATTATCTCCTAGTTGTTGCTGACATCAAGGACTAATCTCTCCAAGGAGGGGAATGCAGACTGCAAGGTGCTGTGTCCCATTCGAGAGGGCTGTCAGGTTCCCTGACGTGCGCCCACAGAACCCATCAGATTCTATTAGATTTTTCCCCCAAATTATTTATTTGTTTGTTTTAGAGAGAGAAAAGAGGGAGAAAGAGAGGGAGAGAAACATTGATGTGAGAAACATCAATCAGTTGCCTCTTGTACATGTCCCAGTCTGAACCTGCAACCCAGGCGTGTGCCCTGACCAGGAATTGAACCGGTGACATTTTGCTTTGTGGGATGACACCCAACCGACATCCACCCGAGCCACACCAGTGAGGGCAGATTCTGTCAGTCTTTCTTGGCTTCTGCGCATACCACTTCTTTCGGGCAGTCCTTTTGTGGGTATGCAACATGGAAAAGAGCATGTGTTTCAGAATGCTTCAAATACACATATACAATTTATCACCTCTGTGATAATGGACAAGTTTCTAAGTTTCCTCATCAGTAAAACAGGAGTAATAAGACTGGCCTGAATGGGATTGTTGTGAGGATTGAAGATTATGTGTATAAAGTTTATAACGTAACTCCTTAATCCCCTTAGCCTTCCAAACCACTCAGTTGCAGAACTCCAAGTCTAAGTTGCTTAATACTTTTCTCTGCTTCTGCATCCTGGCTGCTAGGTGTTGCCACAAGAAATCCATGGTTCATGATCTCAGCTAAGACCTCTGTGATGCTCAGCAGTTCTTTTATGCGTTTTAGTCAACTTTCTTCCTGTCCTATACAGAGATCAGAAATGGGAGTCTCAGAAGAACTTAGTTCTATAGACATCTTTCACTTGGCCTTGAGATAGTTTTTCAAATGTTGGGATTGGTTGTAAGGATTTAAAAATTGAGGAGATTTCAAATAAAAGTTAAAATGTCTAGCTTCACTTGAGAAATTGGATGATTTGAGGATCTGGCGTGCAGTGGACATCAGTATTTTCTCCTTTGAGACAGGCCCACCCAGTTTGCCGTTTTGTCCACCACAGTCTGTGGATTTACTCTGATCCATTACACTTGGTCGTGTTGCTTGCTTGATCCTTTTGGGCATTTACTTTTTGGTTTTGTCCTGTGTTCCCTTCCTCCCTAATATCACTCAGTTCTCTCCCCTTCTTGCTATATGCAAAGCCTTCATCATGTTTAATCTAGAGTACTAGAATAGTCATAACCCATCTTCTGATCTCTAGTGTTGTTCCTCCTGAGGCTGTCTTCCTAGTAGTATCATGTTTCTAAACTGAAAATTGACTCCCACACTCTCTTGTTGCAAATTCTTTACTGCCTTTCCACCTTGTAGTAAATGAAGTTTAAACCCCTTAGCATGGTGTTGCAGTTCTACATGATCAGGTCAGTACCTCTCCAGCCACTTTCTGTGCCTCACTTTCCTCCTGTGGAACATGGGGGAAATAATAGTTCTTACCTATAGGGTTATAGTGGAGATTAAATTAAAATGCATATAAAGCACTTGGCACAGTACTTGACACGTAATAAGTGCTCCGTAAATACAGGCTGTTACTATTTTGATGATAATGTGTTTTGTTTTGTTTTTCGTTTTTTCCTGGTCTCCAGTCCTTCATATTTGCTGTCTCTTCTACCCTGAATGTCTTTACCTTGATTCTTCCCCTGATTGCAACTCATCCCTGAGGACTCAGTTCATGTGTTGCCTCCTCCATGATACATACACTCCCTGACCCTCCATAATCCTGGGGCACCTGTGCATACCTCTAGTAGTGCACTTGTCACATTGTAGTGAAGTTTCATTCCTTATTCTTCCTTATTTAGACTTTTAAGCCCTGTGAAGGTAGGAACTATCTTATACATTCTTGTATCCCCAATAACCAGCTCCGATTGAGGCGTCTTATATGCTTGACAAAGTCATGAATGATCAACATTGTTCATGGCAGAAGACACTTGATTACTATTACTGTTATTTTTAGGGAATTTAGAAGATGTTTAAAATTTGTCTAGTTGTGATAACTATTCTTTAGTTGGTATTTTTTCCCAAAAATGAAATAACTTTATTTCTGACCATAAGTGATACATGCCTTTGAAGAAAATTGGGGCGGGGGGGGGAGTGTAAAGAAATCTCATTATTCAGCAGTAACTAGTGAAGTGCTTTAAGTATATGAACTTATATGTGTGCTACTCAATTTTCGTATTTAATATCTCACCTATAACTGAATCTTGTTTTGCAAACAACATTAGAAAATCCAATATAATACTGGGTTGGCCAAAAAGTTCATTTGGTTTTTCTGTAAGATTGCTCTAATCACATTTAGTTGTCTTTGACTTCATTTGAAACATTTTGTTAGATTGTATTGTGACAGCCATCATATCAACGTGCCTTTAAAAACAATCAAAATTGGTGAATTTTTGTGTAGCCATTTTAATTGAAGGTGGAAGAAAACAAGCAACATTTTCAGCATATTATGCTTTGCTATTTCATGAAAGGTAAAAATGCATCTGAAATGCAAAAAAAAAAAAAAAGATTTGTGCGGTATATAGAGAAGGTGTTGTGACTGATGGGACATGTCAAAAGTGGTTTGCAAAGTTTCATGCTGGAGATTTCTCACTGGACAATGCTTCACAGTTCGGTAGACCAGTTTTTGATAGTGATCAAATTGAGACATTAATTGATAACAGTCAGTGTTATACCATGTGGAAGATAGCCAACATACTCAAAATATCCAAATCTATAAAGTTATTGCCGAAAATGAAAAATGTGTCTTTTATTTTACTGAAAGAACCATATGGACTTTTTGGCCAATCTAGTATAATGAAACACCACTTTTATGTTTCACTTTGCAAGTAGCTACTGTCTCAAAGTAATGAAATTGCCTTCTGCTAAGACAGCCATGTGCTCTAGAAAAAGAGGCCTCAGATCCATTCTATCTTACTACCATGTCATTCCCTTCTTTATAGGTGACCATTCACTTATCAATATATTCCATTTCATCTGTACTTACCGGCTGTTCTCTAGGAATAGAGCAGTGTAAGTTTGGAGAAGTGGAAGCCCAGGATGCCTTTTTTAGGAGAACCTTCTTGTTTATCCCTTGTGTCTCTCTCTCCCACCCTATGTAGCCATTGATATAATTAAGAAGACATTTGGAGGAATACACCTACCAGGGATTTTCTTCTATATGTATGCCTTCTTTTCCTACTCTCCGTATATCAGGTAGCCCATTCCACTCTCCACCCCACCTTAAGCCCATCAAGAATTGTTTCACAGAAGGAATGTGTTCCTTTATATCTTTATCCTTTTTGTAGTATTTTCTTTTAGTGATTGTCCACTTCTGTTTTTGTGACATGTTCCTTTTTGGGAAATGATACTAATCTCTATTCTATAAAGTGCACCTTTGTTACTAAACCCAATTTATATCTCAACTGTCATTCCATGCTGGCAACCAGTTTTAAAATACGGTGTGGATAGGCTATTTTGAATGAATTAAATTTGCTGTATTTGTATTTCATCCTCTAATCCAACTCCTGTCCTTCGGCAACGGTTGGAACATAGTTGTCATAATGAGAAATGTCAACTATCTTTTATGGAGAGCGTTTTTTCCCATTTCTCCAGTTTTCTTCCTGAGTGTTACTTGCTATCTATTCTTACTTACTTTTCTTATTTTAGATCACAGATTCTGCTGGCCATATCCTGTACTCCAAGGAGGATGCAACCAAGGGGAAATTTGCCTTTACCACTGAAGATTATGACATGTTCGAAGTGTGTTTTGAGAGCAAGGGTAAGTAATCCGTATTGTCTGTCCCTGAATTAAGCGTCTTCTCTCAAGTTACATAGAGCATGAACTTTCTTTCTTAGGCCAGCAGAAAGAGGAAATGAAAACTATATTTGCTGGGGTGCACAGACATATAAGTGAAAGTAGCATTCTCCATGTGCAGAAGTAGGCATTTCTTAAATGCTGTGAGACGCTTGGCTTGAATGATGACTTAATTTGGGATAGATGCAAGAAAATACAGTGAGTCCTCACTTAATGTTGTTGATAGGTTCTGTAACTTTAAGCAAAATGATGTATAATTAAATCAACTTTACCATAGGCTAATTGGTATAAACAAGAGTTAAGTTCCTATGGCATCTCATCAACATTATCACAAAATAACATTGAATAACACATTATTCAACAATCTGCAAAGTCAGAATCAGTTTTGGTTTTCAGGACACTTGTTATTTTCTGGTTCTAATATCTTGCTGTGGATTCTTCTGCACATCTCAATGCCAAGATCCTATGGTAACTTTTAGACTGATTACCTGATGGTTTCTATGCTCAGTGGTGGGTGAAAAAGCAGATTCCCCTTTACTTCCCATTCTTTCACTTCAAGGACACTAGATTCTAAAAGCTGTATGTATGTATTGTTGTATTGGTTGGGGCCCCTTTGGACTACAAGACACAAAAAACATAAACTAGTGTAAACAGAAAGACTATTTAACTCTGAACTGAGAAGTCTTCAATGTGCTGCTGACCTTAGGCCAGGCTGGATATTGGGGTTTTAACAGGATTGTTGAAACTCCACCTCTTCTTTAACACTTCCTTTCCTTGCCTCCATTTGACTTTATTCTCAGGCTTTCTCCATATGGTAGCCAAAGGGCTTCTGGCAATTTTACATATATAGAATGTTCAGAACATACAATCCTAGAAGAAAAATAAGCACCTTGGCCAACAGCACCAGTAGCATCCCAGGAATAGCAGATCAACTTGCTGTTTTTGACAATTATCCAAGAATTGACTCCCTTGATCTAGTGTGGGTCATTTGAGCCTACAAGCTAAGGGAGTCCACCTAAAGTAAATGGAATAATAGATTCAGAATAGAAAAATAAAGGACTTTAATGGTGATTTCATACTGATATCCTTTTCCTTGCCCTGACTCGTATCAGTTCCAGGATATCTCAACAATATTCTAGGCATTTCCACATGGGGCTCACATTTTTTAAATTATTTTTGTCTTTTCTAGTCTGTCATCAAGTTACGCTGACCTTTTAAAATACCTTCTGTATCATCACACAAACCTGAACTCTAGTTTTTTAAATTATGAATTATGTCATTAGCCTTCTAACTGATATCCCTGTTTTTATTATATGCAAATACTGGTACCAGATTTATCTCCTAAAACATATCTTTCATTATGTCAGTCTTTTTTTCAGAAGCTTTCCCTTCTCTGTAGTGGCAGTCATATTCCTGTTTTATAGAATGAAAGCTAGAATCATAGAATTTTTGAGCTGGATGGGATTTTGGATATAATGACATTTAGTAGTCTTTATACTCTCACTTTAACCTTGTCTTCCACTAGTCATCAGGCCCCAGCTAGTCTGGTTTTCTCTGCCTTCTAAACATATTGCATTTATTCATTTGCGGGAATGCTCTTCTCCCATATAGACATGAGTTCACCTTTAGTTCTTTCAGAGTACTTTCCTCAGCGTTCTAGCTTGCTTAATTTCTCAATCAGTTAGTTGATTCAGTCAGCAAATAATTATTAAGTACCTTATATATGAAGCACTGTTCTAGGTGTTGGGGATATAGCGATGAATACAAATCGAAGTTGGTCCTCTCGTGGAGGTTATATTTTCATTGGAGCAAATAGACAATAAATAAATACAAGTCAGGTGGTAATAAGGACTTTGGAGAAAAAGCAGACACTTTGACTTGCTGAGCATGTCTGAGAAACAACAGAGAGGTTAACATTGCTTCCTCTAAATACTACATCACTTACAGGTTTGGTTAGTTATTTATGTATTTGAATATATATATAAAAATTAGGCATGTAAATATATCTATATAGATATGTATGTGAGACATATATTACACACAGCTAGTGTTGTACTGTACATATGTCTTAACATTTCCACTTTTAAAAATGTTTAAAATTAATCCTAACCCTAAACCTAGCCATTCGCCTACCCTAATTCTAACCCTAAACCTTAACCTAATCCTAACACTAAACCTAAATCTAACCCTAAGCATACCTTTTGTTCTGAATTTCTTTCTTACATGCTGATGATGTGCATGTAGATGCCTAGGAAATACTCTGAATAAATAAATATATACACGATGCCTAGGAAATAATTTGAATAAATATATACAACACACACATGCATATCGACACAGTACAGTAAGCACTCAATTTCTAGTTTCATTTATGTTCCCTATTTAGCCTGATAGAGAGACCACATACTTTCTAGTCTTAAGAGCACCTTTTAAAAGACTGTCTTTTTGCCAGGCAAATGTAGAGAGAAATTACTGAAGGATCTTTTTAAAAAGGAGACCCTTTATGCCATGATATTAGCTCAGGGGATAAGCTGACTGTTTTGTGCAAGAGATTGTATGGTCTGGACTTAGACCAGCCTGAGTGGTTTTGTGGTTTCACTTGTGTTTGAATAATGCCATTGTTATGATGTGGCAAATGGAAAGTGGGAAGAGTCTCTTAGGAAGTGAATATCTTGATCATTTGGACCAGGTAGGGCTGTGTGTGAGCTGCATAGATTTCATAACTTTTTAAGTGAGGAAGAAGCAAAAATTTGCATTGCATCTCTATGGGCAATGCTGTATTCAGGATTTCACATTGGATTGGGGAGAAGAGACTTGTCTGGATACCACTTTTGTTTTAAATAGTTACTGGTTTAAATGCTCAGAGGACATATGAGACTTGTCATAGTTTCCTTTCTTAATGCTACCTACCCAGTCTTATCTCTGTTGATTTTAAGTTGATTTTTCTAAGGTAGCCAAAAGAACCTCTTACTGTCTTTTAAACATGCCACATTCATTTTAATAACTGAACTTTGTCCATGCTTGTCTTCACCTAGAATACTTAGTCCTGCCTTTGGGTGCTCCCACTTCAGTGAAGTCCATCCACAACTAATCTTTTTCCTCCTCTAATCTTTGCTCCGTAACTGGGATTATCTGGACCAGTTTTTTTTCTCTTAAAAGTTTTATACTGCTTTGCATTTTCACTGAAGCTGTTATTCCTGTACGTGTCTTAGATCCCCATCAAATTATTTGAAGGCAGAGATTATAATCTCTAGCACAGTTCTAGCACCCAGTGAGTTCTCAATGAATAGTTACTGAATTGACTTCAGTCTGTTTCAGAAAACGTCCAGTGCCTCTCAGCCAGCGGAAGGTACTTTAGCAGTCTCTGTTGCTTATGGTGTCAGGAGCCTAAGTGCCTAAGTGGCACTGTTTTCCATGCAGGCAGTTTTTTTTATTTTATAAATAATGAGGTGAATTCCAGGGGATGGGGCTGAGCAATTTCTTAGGGCTCTGAGTCTTTTCTTTCTCCTACTTGATAATATAAGATTAGAATTCCTTTTTGATCAAGCTGAATCAGATTATCTTTTTTTAATATGAACATTGCTCTGTCGGCCTGCTATACCAAATCGACTTTTCTTATTCTAAGAAGCATCCCTGAGAATTATACTCCTATTGTCACGTTTTTTTCTTGGGCTCTTCCCTTTTAAGGGCTTTGTGGAAATAGCCCTATAGTGTTTTATTTACATATTGAAATTGCCTTACATTGACCAAAATGTTTGAATTAAAGTGAAATATTAGATAAATCCTGTGTTCTTTTCAGTACTCCTGTTTGTATTAAGTAAATCCAAGCTTAGAATATGCCCAATAATCCTTTTCTCAAAATTTGACAGGACACCCTTTTTAGATTTGGAAATGTATCTTTTCAGCCTAAGTTGGTGTCCACGACTGGTCTATAAGTGCCACTGAGTTTTATATTGTTTTGACTTTTGAGTTTTATTTCCTATTCCAATAAGCCTGCGTGTTTTCCCTCTTATTCTGTTCCCCTGTAGTACCACCAGCTGCAGTATCCTGTGTACTGCCCGCTTAAAGATGTTTGGCAGCAGCGTGTTCTCTTTGCTTTCCGGCGCCGCACACAGACAGAGGCTTTGTCTGGAACGTTTGTGATTTTAGCCAGAGCTAGGAATTTTCTGCAGCTGAGAATGGGGAGGAGTTTCATCTGTTCTCTGTATTGAAAGGGGAGGGGGTAGGGAGGGGGTAGGTGGGTGGGTGATTTCCCGGAATTTCAAATATTCCGCACAATGAATCCTTTGATTTCTTTCTCAGGAACAGGGCGGATACCTGACCAACTCGTGATCCTAGACATGAAGCATGGAGTGGAGGCGAAAAATTATGAAGAGGTACGTCCTGCTCCGACAGCTGGAGGAGGCAGTCGTGTGCTGTGCCACGAGGTTTCAGTGACCTACTCAGGCCAATAGGCTGTGCCTTGCCCAGAAAGCTATGCTTTTTCTCAGCAGTCAAGTGACAGCCAGCGACAATTTTATTGATATAAAAAGTTGTATTAATGGCCCTGAACAATAATTCTGGCTGTGTTGTCAGCCAAATGACTAAACCAACTGTCCCACAGAAATGTTAGTGTGATAAAACACTCAAGCATATGCCATTAGCACTCTTCAGACAGCAAGTAGATATGTGTTTATAATTTTTAAAAACTGGGATTTATTTAAATGTTAATGTCCATGGTTAAGAAAAGTGATTTGCTTTTAATTTCTAAGGCTTTTGTCCCCACACTGACAGCTCTAAATAGGGTGGGGCAAAAGGCTTACAGTTGTGAGTACATGAAACACAGTTTTTTTCTGATATTACTATTTATTAATTTCCATACTAACAATTGTAAACCTACTTCTGCATCACTCTATATATACCTAGGGCACGGATTCAGTGCTGTTTAGACTTGAACATCTCTGCTACCTTTGAGAAATAACAATATCAAAAGTAGCTTTTAATTCAAATAACTTCAAACTAAGGGAGAGAACAAGATGGAAGAAACTAGGAATAATGATAAAAGTAGAAATTTTTGCTGACGGGGAGTATTATAGAGAATAAAAACTGCCGTCTATTTGGGTGGCAGGGGTGGTAGGGAAGTAGAGGTATGCATAAAATAAGGGGAAGGGGACTGAGCCTTTTTCATTTCTATTATGTGAGGCTTTGGGGGCAGCACAAAATGGTTCTTCAAATCAAGAGCACCTTTAAAAAACCACAAGAACTATTTAAGACCATAGGATTGATCTCTACAGTAAGATAAAAGTATTTTTACCCAGATAGAGCCTTTACAAACATTACCTGTGGGCGTGAAGAAGGTGGGGTACAGGAAATGTAAATGGATTTTGAAGAACATTAAATAAACAAGGAAAGTTGTTTTAAGTGATTTAAGAGAATTTTCTAAGAAGGACAAAGCAGAGAAATTGCTGTAGCTTTGGTCAGGTTTTGGAACAGAATATCCTAAAATGGAAGAAGAGTGGAAGTGACTAATTCTGCAACAGGAAGTAGTACAATTGCAGCTTTTCAGGTCTTTCCTCTTCTTTTTGGTTCAAGTGTTCGATAACTAGATCCCATTATTTGTAGGCAGTAAACAGGAGCAAGTAAGAAGCAGCGAATGGAAGACAGATCCCGGTAGAGACTTAGGTTTGCTTGTTTCTGTCTCCAAGCTAGTTTAATGAAAATAAATAAAGCAAGAGAGACTCTTTATTTGATGAACTTAAGAGTAAAGTGAGGCCCCAGTCCTTGAGCTGCCACCGAGGACTCAGCCACCTCCCCCTTGAGCCCTCCTTGCTTCCCCATGTTTTGTCCCTGCCCCTCCCCCTTCTCCCGCTGCAGCCTTCCAAAGACTGTTTCCATGGAGGGAAAGGAACTGCATTAGATGTCTGTTCTCCAGAACCTGCACTCTTTCAACTCCTTTGCTGATGCAAGTAAAGCTATTGATCTGCTTCTTCCTGGCACTGAGGATTATATCCATATAAGAATTCAACAGAGAAATGGCAGGAAGAACCTTACCACTGTCCAAGGGATTGCTGGTGATTACAATAAAAAGAAACTAGTGAAGGTGTTTGGGAAGAAATTTGCCTGCCCTGGCTGATGTGGCTCAGTTGGTTGGAGCGTTGCCCCGTAACCGAAAGGTTGCGGGTTTGATTGCTGGTCAGGTCACATACGTAGGTTGCAAGTTCAGTCCCTGGTCCAGGTGCTTAGGATCCCTGGTCCGGGCACATACAGGAGGCAACCAATCAATGTTTCTTTCCTCTCTTTCCTTTCTCTCTCTAAAAAGCAGTTGAAAATTGTCCTCAAGTAAGGATAAGGAAAAAAAAAGAAATTTGCCTGTGATGATACTATAATTGAGCACCCAGAATATGGAGAACTAATTAAGCTACAGAGTGACCAGCACAAGAGCATACGTCACTTCCTCATAGAGATTGGATAGCTAAGAAGGGCAGCAGAAGGTTCATGTGTTTAAGTCTTTTGGCTCATTGATGCTTAAGTGAGGATTTCTTTGCCATGAGTAGAATTTCCCTTCTGTCCCTACTACAAGTTTAAAAACCTCACAGCTTATATAATGTAACCATTTGGGGTCTGCTTTAAAATGGACTAGTGTAACTCTTTCATGCAATAAACTGAAAAGAGCCATGCAAAATTATAAAGTGAAAAATCCTTTTAAACTTTCATCATTTAGAAGAATCTTAATTATATTTAAATAAGATAACATAATAAAGTGCTGTTGTAAGTCATAAAACACTAAGAAAAATGTTGCTGTAGTTATTTATGGTGAGGTGGAAGAATAGGTAAGATGATTTTCAGGTTTTGTTTTCCACTGCTGTGTCCTCAGCCTCAGACCAATCTCTAAGCAAGCATTCATTGAATTCCTGCTATGTGGAATTTTACCTGTTGTAACTTTTCTCTAATGTGATCCTATCATTAGGTGGTATATACTAAATAATAGGCCTCTTGATTAGATATCAGACATAGTTCTCCTCTAAAACAGATGGTATTATAGTGAGTTTACATATAGAATAATGTGGACATCACTAGCACATATCATTTTAGAACCCCTGTACCTCTTGGAATTTCTATTATCGTTGGACTTCATTGACACCAGGAAAGAGCCATTATCTTTCCTGACCTTTTGTTTAACCCAAGAGGGGAATCCCTAGCAGAAAGCAAACCACAGCACTTCCTTTGCGCCGTTTCCTGCTGTGGAAGTCTGGCACGTCCTAAGCCTTTACGCACATGGTTACAACACAGCTCTTAATTCTGTTTCTTAATGAAGAAACTCCTCCCATATTTCTTTGGCAACTGCCCTCCTCCCCCAGAAAAGCAGACCAAATTGAGACAGAGGAGGAGAAATGGTTATGACAAAGGCCAGTCCTTTTCTCAGTTCATGGCTAGGCTCCCTTGAACCTTGCTTAGAAAAAGCTGTTAGTTGTCTGTAAGCTAAAGCCTGTGACAAGAAAATGGATAGTGGAACCACTTGTTTCCTGTTAATTACCAGGGAACATTGAGCACATACAGAGGTTTTGAGGCATTTAATTTCAGGCCCTTGAGATAATGGAGAGCCTTTGTCTCTAGAGGATTTGGACCCTCTGGCATCAGTATTTAGATTCAGGGAGGTGGCACATTTGTTTAAGTTCCTTCACATCCAACATACTTCTCCTTCACATTTGTGGATTTTATCATTCTGAAATCCAATGTAGCCTTGTAAAATGTAGTAGTACTTGTAATCAGTAAACACACTAAAAATGTAAGATGTATTATTTGGAAGACAGAATGGTTGCCATATTGTAAAGAAGCATCGTCTTGTAGTATGAATTCTTTAAAGAGAAAGAATGCTATGTCTTCAGAAGTAAAGCATTTTTGATTGCCTCAGTTGTATGTTAAGGACCTCTCACCACTCTTTTGCCTGGGGGGAGGCGGCATCTTTGTAGAGTCAGTATGTCAATTCAGCCATTCCTTTCTTTCTTTTTTAATCCTCATCGGAGGGTATATCCATTGATTTGAGAGACAGACAGACATTGATGTGAGAAACATTGATCATTTGCCTTCTGTACATGCCCTGCCTGGGGTGAAACCCACAATCTAGGTATGTGCCATGACTGGGAATTGAACCGGCAACCTTTTGGTGTACGGGACAATGCTCTAACAACTAAGCCACCTGGCCAGGGAAAGCCATTTCTTTTTAATTTGTGGTGGGTGAACAAGAGCAGCTGTGTGCAGGGGCTTACTGTCTAATCATGTAGTTGTGGGAATGAAGGCAATTACTCTCCCATAAAGAAGGAGCTGTCTGTGACATATTCTCTGACTCCTGGGCCATGTATGAGAGAAGACCCCCCCCACAAAAAGCTGGAATTATCTTCTGGAGGACAGGCCCCTTGTAGTACAGGCTTCCCTGGCTAGGTGAGTGTTCTAGGAACCCATCTGTACCAGTGTACCTGCTGGCGTTGTGAGAGGCTGTGTTCGGCTTCAGTGAATTTTTTTGGAAGACTTCCAATGCGTCTGCCCATTTCATGATGACTGATTTACAAGTGCACCTGCCTACACCATGCTGAGTGTTCAGCAGCTTTTGACCAAAATCAGCATGACCCCCATGCCCCACCCTCCTGATGCACCTGATCTTGCCCAAGTGACTTTTTTTTGTTTTCTGGATGAAAAAATTCCTCAAAGGGAAACATTTTGCTGACATGGAAGAGGTGAAACAAAAAACAGCAGGAGCACTCACAAGCATCAAAATCTACAAGTTCAAAAACTGTTTGAGCAGTGGAAAAAAGTCTCGATAAGTTTATTGCATCAGAAGGAGAGTACTTTGAAGGTGACTGAACTTTAAACATGTAAGAATAAATACATAATTTTTTATAAATAAATTCTGTTCTTGCAGAGGGGGGCGTCCCCCTTGTATGACCATTCTTGATATGTCAGCATTTTTACCGCAACTAAAATCCTGTTCTGTCTAGTGGTTCTTTTAGTCAGTCATTTACTATCAACAGATACACCAAAAACACAGTTTCCTTCTTTGGAGCAGCAGCCGAAGACTTTCTGAAATGTCTGTTTCTCTGAATGCCCTCAAGAAAGGAGGAATTCTGGTTCTGTGTACTTGTTCCAGAATCCCTTTGTTGACGTGAATTAAATGAAATAACATGGGTAAGGCACCTGACATGTAGTTGGTCAGTTCAGTAGATTTTAGCCTTAGTGCTTCTCTTGCTCTTTCTGGAAGCTGGCAAATGGCTATGACATAGTGAATGGATCTTACTAAATTTCATTTAGCACTAAGATTGGCGGTATTATCTGAACTTATTTTGGCACGTTGGCCTTTTCAGCTTCTGTGAAGAGGCCTGTGGTTCACATACCCCACATGCAA